CCAAGAAGCATTATTGCAGACACCTGAAATAAATTATATAATAACAAACTATTACCATGTGATTGGATTAGGAAACTTGTTCTAGAGACGAAGATTTTCTATGCAAGGCTCACCGAGGTTACTATGCTTTTGGTGGTCAGAGCCGGCACCGACGGTGTGGACAAACCTCTAACGAGAAAGGGCTCTTCAATAGAAGAACTATGGGGCGGGGTCATTCTTTGAGCTGAAAGAGATCCTGCCGTTGGATTATAACTGCTTGACAGGGATCTTGCAGACCTGACGAATGACAACTATTCAACATTTAGCGAGTTTGTCATTTGTTCAAGGGAAAAACAGATTTCTACTTAGAATCATAAAGATGTATGAGGATTCAACAACCAGGAGATTCCCTAAAGCAATTTAATATCGTTGTCAAAATGGTGCATGTAATCAGAGAGCCCTTTGTGAGTAGCATCTTAATGGAGCACTCCAGTAAAAACGATTTTCCCTCAAATACCATGAAATCTTTTTAAATGTCCGTGAAACTAGCATCATCCATTGTGATCAGAAAAGGAAATAAGAACAGAGTGATTCAAGAAAAGAGAGACATCAACCAACAGGTCTTGACTGCTTAATCCCAGATACAGGTTTACCCAATCAATAATTCTTGATCCAGAAATAGTGATCTCTGTCACAAGCCTTAATGACTTGCACTAATGCCATTATGCAAATGAAGTTTATAGTACTTATGAAGATCTAACAGGGGGAAATCCACCTAGACAAGGTAAGTAGTTGGAGTTAACATTGGACTGAACCACATATCCACTTAACCTCAGCCACCTCATAGAGTGGCGGGAACTGACCATTATAGCAAGAGTCTATACTTTTTACGCAAATATTAGATAATGGCTTTTGATACCCAGCAAGTTCCTTTCCAGTATGAGGTTCAACAATCTTGCAAGCTCCCTTCAAAAAAAGAATGAGGGAAACGGTCTAGGTAAAATTTTGGACGTGGGAGGAGGAAAGGGAAAGATGATATCAAATGTTGCCTTTCATTCCACATACCAGCAGATAAAAGTTTTCAGATTAATGGTCAAAGCCAAGTCTGCAAAAGTTCCTTGCCTGTAGTATAGTTCCCTTCCAGGGGAATTATTTGGTTGGGCCACCGGAAGAGGAATAGGTGTGCTCAAAAGATGTCCGGTATCAGCTCTAAACCTCCGTGTGTCAGTGTTGCTGACTTGTTTGCGCATCTCTGCTACCTCTGCCTCGCTATTAATCTAAAAGTAGAACAAACTAAATATGTCAGTATCTGGCTGTTGGATTCCATTTCGTATGATGTAGAGCAGATAACAAAATTACCATGCAGTTAACTCACAGAACAATGAAGTAATTGGATTTCAGGTATGCTCTTTAAATTATAGAAAATCTCATAAAACTTTCACCCAAATAGAAATTTTGTTCTATATAATGGTTCAACATATCTCAACACAAAAATTTAAAAGAAGAAAAACTGTAGTAAGAGAGGAATACAGACAAACTGCTTGTAGTTCTTAATTAATTAAATTGTGGCCAGAGAAGCGGACAAACAAATTTGCTGTGATTATCAAATCAATATCTATTAAATTTGGGTTCTAATACTGTGATTGATTCAAATAAAGGATTCACTACCATGCACCTAATCGTCAACCATTTTCTCTTGAGGAGCCAAACAAGAAAAAGAACCCATATGGAATGATTTATAAAAGAAGTCGTGGACTAACAACCTTTTCTTTCTTTCTTTTTCAATAAAAATTAAGATTGGCTTGTTTACTTTTTCCGGAGAGAAAATAGATGGAAACACTTAAAAAGCTAGTCAAAATATGTATCAGTGGAGAAGTTTGCATTTCGCTTAATAGTTCCCCAGGCTCATCGGTAAAAAAATACTAGCAAAATATAGGAGTAGACGATGAAAATTTTCAAATTGCAGTGAGTTAAAGAAATACATACCTTCTGATTTTTCCTGTATTTTAGTTGAGGATAAATTTGACCATAGTATACACTTTGCATAACAAGTATTAGGGTTGTCACTGTATACAGCTGCCCAACAAATCAGCAGCAAGAATGTCATGTAAAAAAACCAACCTGACTGATAAACAAAGTTTTTAGCACATGATATTTACCACTGCAGTATAGTATTGTGTTGGAAGCTGCAAAAAGCAAGTAAACAATGTCAGTAAATGATTTGCATAATTCTCCATGACGATAGAAACCTTACTATATTATAACAATGATGACAGGTTAAGTGCAACCATTATCCCATGACCGTTGGGAACAAGAAAATGTTACTCCACTTGGAGCATTATGAACAAGATCAATCACTAATATGAAGATCATGATGCATGCAGTGTTAGTTTCCTTATGCTCTACTTGCAAAGCAATAGAAACTTCAAACACGGGAGCAATATGCCCAAAACATCAATACCATGAAATATGTTAATTAATAATCTCAATCCGCTGAGGAATTAAAAGGCTAACTCATGCATAGATGCAAACACATTCATACATGCATATTGCCATTGGCAAGCAATAATACCAGGAGAACAAGTCCCAAAATTTGAAACTTCTAAGGTTCTATACTATTTTAAGTTGGAGAAAAATATTGAAGATCACCATGAATATGAAAGAACAAGGACTAGAAAGGAAATGAAATAGCTAAATAACCATTATAAGGAGGCCTTACTGTAGCTGGTTCCAACAGGCATCCGAAAAGGTTGAAAAGATCTCTGCAGTAGTAGTTAAAATCAGATGAAAAGGAAATTATGCAGGAAGGTAGATGGGTTATTGAACAAGTGTAAACGAACTACCAAAAGAAAAGAGACGTAATACCCAAGAGTCCATGTGGTCAAGAAAGCAATGGAGAGGCCGTCGGCAGATTTATCCTTGTAGTTAGTGACGATCTGCGGTATCTCTGCAACACACCAACTGATTACGCTGACCAGACCGAGCGTTAAGGAAACTTTGTCTCTGACGCTGCAAAGACAGTATTGCATATACTCTCTAGCCCAATCGGAGCAATGGCCATTTCTTGGGCATTCCAATGTTAAACTTGTCAAGACTGCCATTATTGCATCCGATGCAATGATTCTCTACTCTGAACCCAAGCAGAACAGAGCACCAAGCAGTTTCATATACTAGAGATAAATATATAGAGGGCTGTAACCGATGAAATATGCCAAAAATTATTTAGAGAAGACAGAAATCAAATTATCAGGGGAAAAAACATTTTCGCATGAAGTTTATATATACAATATGAATGCAAGGGCGATACTCGGAGATTTCCTTCTTTAACCAGACAGATGAAAAAGGAAATAGAATAGATATGATAACCAGAAATTGATGATTAGTAAAATCATGAAGGGAAATCTCGACTTCTTGCTTCTATTTCATTGAGATACACTTTAAATTCCTTATTTCCCGCTCAATTTGTAACTAAATGCTTAGGCTTCTGACACAATCAGCAACAAAGTTAATCTTAAAAGACAGCAAAATAGGAGCTGAATTTCAAAATCTCAATACACCAAAAACTGGATTGAGGTAAACATTTCGTCAGGGAAAATTCACAAGAAGACAAGAGAGACAAGAACATAGAAACTCACAATAGAAGAAGACGTACATTGAAGTTTTAGCAGCTCCGGTCGCGTGTCGTTGTGGAGTTGAATAGAGAAGGAGATGGATTGAAGATTTGAGAAACTAGAAGAGCGGAGAAGCAGTTAGACGAATAATAGTAGATTTTATGATTACTGTTTCCAAACGTGATTAGCGGGTGTGCTTCCCGGTGGACTCCTTCCATGTGCCGTCTCTTCCATCCTTACCATCAACAACCTATGAGGCTGTAACAGCTTGCTCATGGAATCTGCGGTGCCGCTACTTTTTACCAACCTCTTCTCTTTGCAGTAACCTGTTTATATAGATATATTCAAATCAATTTATTAGCCACTCCAAAAATTGATTTATTTTAGCTTAATTGGAATTTCGTTAATATTTATAAAATACAAAAAGAATATTAAAATAGTTATAAAGCAAGAAATTAGCGTCCGTATCATATTAAAATACGTGTTAATTATCTGCAGTCACTGTTAAATCTCCCTATTTTCTCACTTTTGAAGACATCACAAAACTCCATATATATATATAGATATATATATGAGAATCGGTGCATGAAACGCAGAGCCGTAGTTCTGATTGGAATAAACAAAATAAAAATTAAAGAACGAGGAGATCATGACGCCAAAAATCGCCCCTCCTGCGCGCTAAACTAGTTCGTTTTAATTTTTCTCTTAATACTGAAACTCAACATTCAACAACCAGAATTTGTTCTTTTTACGTAATATTTCCTGTCTATCTCATAATTTTATCTTTAGATTCTTTCCTTTTTTTTTTTTCTGAATGAAAATTAAAGAGTGGGTTTTCCCGAAAATGGATTAAAAAGTAGCAAACATTTCGTACATGGAGACACTTGTTTACAATTTAATATAAAACAAAGAATGGTATGAAGGTAACAGAGCTTAAGGCCAAACAAGATCGACTGTTACTTTTAACTCAAGCGGATCTTCCTCTGTGTCATAATCATTCTTGCCTGCAGCTTCATTTCTCTCTGGTTTTCTAGCAGCCGAATTGGCACGAACAGAGCAGGAAGCAGAAGAAAAGGAAGGAGGAGTGAGTGTAGTAGTTGCAAGAGCCAGATTTGGGTCTCTCTGGCGAATAAATTCGGACAATAAGAGTACGAGAGAAGCCATGGAAGATTGGAGTTTAGTGAATTTTGGGAAAACTGAGAAGACGATGAATAATGACTTGTGCATTTGTGTTTATAAAGAACAACAAAAGTAAAGAAGGTAAGAAAAAGCCAATGGTTTCATTCAGGTGGATGAACTAATCTGAGGATTCAGAAGTACGAAACCCGGGGGCGAATCTTCAGTGGGTTTTGATTTGTCGGTGGCTTGGGACAAAAGCCGAGGGTGAAAACCTGTGGCTTTCCCCCTAAAACCAGGACTCAGCCTGCGGTAGTGGTTTCCAATTAGCACCATTCAATGGGGGCCCAATTTCTGGTTTTGGGTTTGGGCCCGTAGGCTTTTTCTTGGGCCTAAAGACCAAGATTAAATGGGTTCAAGCGATTAATAATAGATATCTTTTTAATACAATTTGCTTGTTTAAAATGTCAGCAAGTCTGCTGAAAATTCAGATAAGAAAATCGAAGTAAATATTTATTTTCTCTTCTCATATCTTATAAGTTTATTTTATTTTCTCTTTTTTAGTCTCAATAATAATGTTAGAGATTTTCAAAAATTAAAAAAAAAAAAACAGTTTTTATATATAGCAAACAATATATGGCTTCTAAAAGCTCTGTGCAAACCATTAATCACACATTTTGACTATTGATTGAAGTATGGTGATGGATGACTTTCTGATGTTTGAACTGTGTGGTTATTTTTGGAGTAGTAGAACCGGAAAGATGCTAAGTTGGAAGGAAGCCCAAAACATAAATAAATATATCTTGAAGTAAAAAATAAATAAATAAATAAATAAATAAATCTTATTTTATTGGTTTTAAATTATTTTTCAAGAGTATTATTATAAATAAGGGAATCGTTTTTTATTTTTAAAAATTATTTGTACGGTTGGGGGTGCGAAAGAGAGGAAACGAAATGTGAGTGCCCCCACAAGCTCGGGTTCCAAAGGCAATGAAGCAAGGATGACAGCTTATATGAGAAACTGATGATGGATCCGACTTGTTTACTTTCCTAAAATGCCAAAACCCCAAATGGACCCGATCACCCACTACTCCTTCACATTCATATTCTTCTTATATGTCTCTCTGTCACCTCTGTATTTTCCAGCTTTTTCCCCCTCAAAAACAAATGAAATCCAATCATACCCACATCATTCATCACCCTCTATTATAACACACACACACATATGTATGTATATATACATATGTGTGTGTGTGTGTGTGTGCATTATATATCTCCACCTTCAGACACAGATTCAACCATTTCTGACTCTCTCAGCACTATCTGCCACATAAACTATATAACCTTCGAACTTCGGTACTTGGGTGAAAATACATATACATGCATGCATGTAAGTTCTTCTAACTCTATCCACATCTATATATATATATATATATATATAACATTTGACAGGTGGCATAGCGTTGGTGAATGCGTGTGTGTGTGTGTGTGTGTGTGTATGTATATATATCCTTAGCAACTCATAATATTACAGATTGCTCACAGCATGCACCATTATTCTCATGACTCATGAGTGATATACAATAAATTTTTATTAAGTCTGTCAAAACTTACTCACAAAAATATTTGATACTTTGGAGTACTATAATCACAGATTCTTCTCTTTTTCTACTTATTAAAGGCCATAATAATAAAGATATTAGAAAAAAAGAATAAATGTAATTATATTATAATACAGTTTGTAATTATTTGACACTAAATTAAGAGATAAGAAATTCCAGTTTACAATACTAAATTAATTAATTAATAGATAAAGATGGATTAGGTGTGTGCAAAGCAAGCTTGTGGGGTGTAGTTGAAACTCAACAACCCTAAAAAGCGTAAAGGGAGCGTCTTCTTTTCTGAATGTTTAACGTATGACATTAAGATTAAATACATAATTAAAATATCACCTTGGAACCAATTCTAATTCGAGTCTAACTGTGCCTTTTTTGTAAAGTTGTATAATATTATTTAATTAATAAAAAGTTATATATATATATATATATATATATATATATTCTCAGAAACATGCAGTAGTAAAGTTGATAAGATTTTACGTGGGGTGGGATGATGATGAGATGTATATACATATATAAAATCTGGTGTGAATTTGTAATAGTTACTGATTGATGTCGGGACAATACATGTTTTGACCTGTGAAGGCCACCGGCCCCTACAAATACCAGCATCATTATGTACAAATGATCATCACAATCAATGCAATTGGCATATACATTTACATATACTTACATATATCTATATATATCTATATGCACTTTCACTCCGTGAGTCTCTTTCTCATACTAGAATCTCCACTACTGAACCAGGAAATCCATGGACTTGTCAACGAGAACCGATGAAAAACCCATCTCCATGCTCATCCAACCTTCTCGTCCTTGCAACATTTCTTTAATTCCAAACAAACCCACCACGCCAGACGTATCTTTCTCCGCCTATCTCAGACCAGCTGATCATCAAGTTGATGATTCTGAGATCAGTATTTTTGATGCTCAGAAATACTTCAATGAAACTACAGATATGGCTAAAGCTGTAAGCAGGCGAGTCTCTCCTGTTAACGTCGTCAACCCAATACCAGATCGATATTGCGACGTCGTTTCAGGCCTACCCAGGTTCTCCTCCGCTTCATCAGCCGACTGCTACTCCAGGAATATCTACAGAGCTCGTTCCTTCCACGCGACGCCAACTGCCTCATCCGAAGCTAGCTGGAATAGCCAGACCGGGCTGTTAACCAATCCCCCAGGAGCCATGGCTGTCTCCATAAGAAATCCTGCTTCTGCTAACGATGAGAAGAAGAAAGGCTCTGGGGTTAAATGGTTTTTCCGGCGCAAGTGTCCTTGCTCAGGGAGGAAATCCGTTCAAGTGGAGCAACATCCATCAGAAGTACCTAAAACGACACAGTCTCGACCCAAGTACAGTATTTCCGAGTCCGAGGCTTCAGTGCATCAAAAAAAGCAATCTCCCAAGACTAGCCCGGAGGAGGAACCCGAAATTGCCCCTGCGAAGAACTGTCAAATCATCCCATCACCAGATCAGAATCGTTTCCCACCTCCGACCAATATTGGACAAAGGATATGGACATCTGGAAGATCTTTCAGTGACGGAACCGGGTTTACGTTTCCGATACTTACCCACTCATCATCTTCCACAGACGCAGTAGCCCTGAGTGACGCCTTCCGAATCCCGCCACCGAGCAGCACAACCGTTGAAGACCCACCTCGAGACTCGCTGGAAGTATTCCGACCACGCGATGAAACCGTGACTCCAAGGAAATTAACTCAACGTCATAGCTTCACATTCCCGGGAAGTCCCAGATCCCGAATGTCAACCGTGTCAGACGACGAGGTAGCGAGCGATGCAAGCTCAGACTTGTTCGAGATAGAAAGCTTCTCGACCCAAACGACGTCGAATTACGTGAATAACCGGCGAGATTCGCTGGAGGAATCGACGGGTTCTGGAATTGACGGAAGATCACGAATAGGGGGGGGACCAGGCATGTATTGTAGTAGGAGGCCGAGCCTGGATGATCGGCTAACGGAAAGCGCTTACGAACCGAGCGAAGCGAGCATTGATTGGAGCGTAACGACAGCGGAAGCGAGCGTGACAAATATGTCAATAGCAGAGGATCGTTACTGGGAAAAGAACAGCGGCAGGGGAAAGACGAGATCGGGTAGTGGTGGAGGGTTGTTGAGCTGTCGATGCGAGAAGGCGGTGAGCGTGGGGCCGGGGCCTGTAAGATGCGAGCGACAGAAGGTGGGACCGCCCGTTCCGGCAAGCGCCACATTGCGGCATGTGGGCAGTAGGGGCAGCTAGTCTGGACAAGCCACCGCTTGGGGGTTCACGCTCTGCTCGCGTGTCTCTTAATTAATTAATTACCGTGGTTACTTTTTTACGGTTGTTAATTCAGTCTTGTCTGTAATCTGCATTTCACTTTCTAAATAATAATATAATTAAAAGTTTTAATAATTACGGAAGGACGGATAATTGGAACAAGTGTTTAATTAGTTAGTTAATAGTAGTCACGTCAGCAGTGTGTTTAACGGCTACATACGCTGACTTTTCATCGTCTCTTTTGTTTCTGCGTCGTTGGCCGTGTCCGAGATTCCGAACCAACCATCTAACTTAAAAACTTTAACTAAGTAAATATGGAAGTTAATTTTTTGTAAAACAATGTCAATGTATATAAAAACAAAATTAGTGGGGAATAAATTGCAGTATGGCTCCAAAAAATGTTATCTATTTTTCTAATATGGTTTCTTAATTATAAAATGTTCATTTTTTATTTATTTTTTTATTTTTTATTCGAATCATCTAACTTAATTTTACTATGTTAATCACAGTTCTCATAAACATACATGTGAAAGAATTTGGTCAACTTTTTAAATTCCCCATACATACAAAATATAAATGTACATTAACATTTAGATTTTTTTAAAAGGGTTTTTGGAGATTGGTTGTTTTGGTTTATTGCTATATTAATAATTCTATGCTAATAATTAATATTCGATGAATTAGAATATGTTACTTTCCATTGTAATTCATAATTTTTTATTTTTATTTATAAAAAAAAAAACAATTTCATATTATGTAAATAAACATTTATTCTTGAGATGTGAAATTTAAGTTTAGTTTAATCTTAATTTTAACAAATTTATGTGGTCTATGGATTCAATTAGAAAAAGAATGGTCCAACACAATTGAAACTCGTAAAATAGAAGCCCAAAACAAAATAAAATCGCCCATCCGGCCCAAATAAACTGAAAATATTATGTATGGTCCAAGAAGGAGATATTTATATAGAGAAAAGGCGGAAATGGAGAAGCAAATCCCAGGCCTCGCAAACCCTAGCCGCCGAGTTTTTCTATTCATTTCTGTTGTTGCTTCTTCACTCCATCAATCCACCCATGGCCAAGAAGAGAAAGCACGATTCTAAATCTTCAGAGCCTACCGAGCCGCCTCAGAAGCAGCAGCAACACAACAAACAACAGGAAGAGGAGCAGGAACAACTCCAAATCGAAGACCAAGAGAACATCGAAGACGTCGAGGAAGAAGTCGAGGAAGTGGAAGAGGAAGAAGATGAGGAGGACGAAGAAGGGGAAGGCGAAGACCAGGATGCAGGTACTGTAAATTCTGAAACGAATCAGGCGGACGATGAAGACGACGAACCTATTGAGAAGCTCCTCGAACCCTTTGGAAAAGATCAACTCACTGATCTACTGCGTGAGGCAGCCCATAAGCACCGCGATGTAGCCGATCTCATCCGAAAACTAGCCGATGAGGATCCAGTGCATCGCAAAATATTCGTGCACGGCCTCGGCTGGGACACCAAAGCCGAAACCCTTGTCGATGCCTTCAAGCAGTACGGGGAGATCGAGGATTCCAAAGCTGTGACGGATAAGATCTCCGGTAAGTCCAAAGGATACGGTTTCATCCTTTTCAAGACTCGCACTGGCGCCCGCAGGGCCCTCAAGCAACCACAGAAGAAGATCGGAAACCGGATGACCGCCTGCCAACTAGCATCCGTCGGACCCGTTCCAACTCCAACCGCACAGCCTTCTGCCCCTGCTCAGCCAGTCTCCGAATATACCCAGAGAAAAATTTATGTGAGTAATGTTGGGGCCGATCTTGATCCTCAGAAGCTGCACTCTTTCTTCGCCAAGTACGGCGATATAGAAGAAGGGCCATTGGGTCTTGATAAGATGACTGGTAAGCCTAAGGGGTTCTGTTTGTTCGTCTACAGGAATGTTGAGAGTGCAAGGAAGGCTTTGGATGAGCCACATAAGAACTTCGAAGGTCATATATTGCATTGCCAGAAAGCGATTGATGGCCCTAAACCAGGAAAATCCCAACACCAGCATCATCGGAACACCCATAACTCACACTTTCAGAGGAATGATAGTGGCAGTTTTGCCGGTGGTGCTGCCACTGGTACAGGACACTTAATGGCACCATCAGGTCCTGGAATTGGAGCCAATGCCGCGCAGGCATTGAATCCGGCCCTTGGGCAGGCTCTGACGGCATTGTTTGCTACTCAGGGTGCTGGATTGGGGCTGAATCCTGCACTAGGGCAAGCTTTGTTGGGGACACTGGGCTCTGCTGCTGCAGTCAATCCAGGTGTACCATCTGCAGGGGCTGGGATCCAGGGTGGCTACGGCAGTCAGGCAAACATTAGTCCAGGGGTAATTGGTGGGTACGGGAGCCAAGGTGGCCTTCAGGCTGCGTATCCCAATCAGCAAATGGGACAAGGCGGGGCTGGAAGGGGCCAGCATGGTGTAGGACAGTACGGTGGTGTTGCCCCATACATGGGTCATTAGCTCTTCTTCAGGTTCGTAAAAACACACTAATCATTGATTTTGCTATTCCTTATCTTTGTTATACTCAGTATCCTCATCTAACTCTTAAGCGCAACTCTAATATAGCTGGTATTTGGTATGTTTTCAATGAGGACATGGCTTACAGCATCATGTTAATAAGTGTGAATATGATAGATTCAGCAATAGGTGTTGTTACAAATGGCTTGCATCTACTGATGTTAGAAACACCAGAATTTTAGTAATTTTACATAATGGTTATCTAGTCGTGATGTTTGATTAAGATATAATGTTGCTGCAAAGATTTATTCTGTTAAAGGTTGCTTTGAGCTAACACATCTTCGTTCCCTGATGAGTTTCCAGACTGATTTTGCATTTACTATCAAGGTGAGCATTACTTATTAGAGGATTTAACATTTCATTCCTTTGTTTGTTTTCCTCCTTGAGGCACTCTCATTTAATCTACCTTATCTTCAAATTAAATGTCTTACACTGTTTCAAATTTTTTAAATTCTTTTCTTTTGAGCAGTTAATGTTTGATATTGAGAACGACAAAGATCCTTCTGTTTCCATTGGCTGTCACTTTGATTTTCTTTGGTTGTGTTAAACCATTTTCTAAAGGATTTTTGGTTCTGAAGGATTCCTTGTTTTTGGAAATTGTTTTTTCATGTTTTTGTATTCATTGTGCAGATGCCACACATCAGTGTTTTAATACTGGCCTGGTGATTCTTCTGAAGTTTAAGGAGCTGATGCAAATGAAGTCTTTCTATTTACGATGAAAAGTTACTCTTTGGTTACTACAAAGACCAGAATCTTAAAACTGACAAATGGGGTTTCTGTTTTCTCTACTTGTTTTCTTCAGCTCTACCTAGGCTTTGCTTTCAAAATGTTGTACTACCTTCAGTTTTTGTACTTAATTTGAAATATTTCAGAATGTTTTCAGTACTCCTAAATCTATCTGTACCTTATGGAGTCAATGCTGTGAACAAAAGATGACTTTTGAAATTTCAGTCCTTGTGGTAAATAATGCTTTCATTCAGTGGTTTGATTTGGATTTGAGATTTTATGTCCATTTTTTTCTTGGTTTCCTTTTACTTCTATTGGTATTGATTTTTTTTTTTGCCCTTGATTTTGCACCGTGCAGAACATTTTAAACTGGACTGAGTCTATGCATTGAACTGTGATTTCCTTTTGATATGTACTCTATAGAATTAGGCCTTGATAAGATGTCATCTCTATTGGCTCAAATTACTTGAGTTTAAATCACTTAACTTTTTCCTTAGTCAGGTTGGATGATGATAACAGTGCAGGTAGTTTCTTATTGCAGGTTGAGCAGCCTTAGCCAGGACAACCTCACTGGCATGTGGTTTTTGTGATTAATTAAAAAATGCTAAAAAACGGAACTGTTTGATACATAAGGATTTTAGTCTCTGTAGCTACTGTTGTTGATGCAACATTTTCAAATTTATAAGTTACATAGGAAACAGTTATGATGGTCGGTGACCTGGTCTTTAATGGATGGTTTTATTGTTCTTTAATAGGATGGCTGATGGTCAATTTGATAATTTGATCTACTTCAAAAGTTTGATGTTTATTATTTGAAGAAATTTTAATCAAGCTCGAATTTTGCGTTTTCCAATTTTTCAAAAATAAAAAGTTGGCATTTTTTTGAAATGCTGAATTGAAATATTTTGAATTGCAATAATGTGCGTTCCATACTTCCAATTTATACCAAATGAGGACTTCTTGGCAAATAACTGTTAGAAAGAAACTGTATTGACATGTCCATGATTGTATAAAACTCGAAATCACCAAACTACTTTCATGTGTTTATGCAACTATAGGATCTTTTTTTTTTTTTGAATTTTTTCCTTAAATGTGTCGGTGATTTTGGTAAAAGATGAAAGTAAGATTTATGTAACTATGGTTCTTCTGGCTAATTCTTCATTCTGTCAATAGCTTAGCTTAATTGAGTTGGTTTTTACCTTTTTTGGCATTATTGGTCTTTAAAGTTAGTTCGCTCTGTCGATTTTCTTTCTCAAGAAATCAGTATCGATTTGGTTGGCAATCAGTTTTCTTTTGGTTAATGAGAATTAGTAGCTTTAACCAGAAGTGATTTCTGAAAAAGGTTGCCCTTTTGAAGAGCATAACATAAAATTTTAATTTTTTTTTTGAGAACAAAAAGCTTTAACTGAAAACGAGTCTTGTAAAATATTAACATTTTGACTAAAGCTATTATGTTCTTGGTAACAATTATTTTCCTTATAGGTACATACAAATTCGGAAAAAATTCCTGTTTTTTCTGGAGAAAAATCAAAAAAACTAGTTTTTGGCATTTGCTCATTTATACTCTGTCGATGTTAAATTAAGAACTCTACTATTTTGCAAGTGGTAACGAAAGGCACAACTAAAAATGCATCTAACCATTTTTAAAGTTGTGGTTGCTGTGGGTTGTGCACAATTGAGTTTATTGACGTTCAATATGTATGATGGCACTTGATATGCAACTGGACTTCACTTTTAGTGCTAGTTACAAACAAGACGCCTACTATGACTGCTGTGCGTCAATGGATTACCATTTGATATCCTCAGAGCAGCAGGTAAGAATCAAGACCTAACTAATGTTACCTTTTGCTTATGATATTTGTGCTATCTGTCATAGTCTTGTGGGGTTATTTCTTTTTCTTGGTCTTGGTTTTGACTTCTGGGTTTTGGGTAAGGCGATTTCTAATTTGATTATTATCTCTCTCTTCATACGTTCCTTTTTTATATTAGTTCTTTTCAAATGGCGTGTATTCGCAAAATATTTTACGACTAACTTATGGGGTTGGCAAAATTGTTTTGGACCATAATTTAAATCGATGTTAATTATAAGTAGGATCACTTGCATAAATGGACCTGCCAGTCGTTCTTTTTTTTTTAGAGAAACTATTAATGTTCTAGATGACATTATTTGTTTTAGCATATTACCTTTTCTATGATTGTTTCATTTGTGGAACTGTTGTCTTCCCATGGAAATTCATGTTCATCCCTTGGACTTTGTCTGCTTGTACCTTTAATTATATAAAGTTTGGGCTTTTAGAACATTAATATTTGTTGATTAGTAGCTTATTTTTAAAAGGAAAAAAGAATTTCTACTTAATAAAGCAAATATATGCTGTTTCAGCTAAGTAATCATGTGAGATTTTGAAAGCAACTATTTTTCTTTGCTGGGAAGCAAAAAGTTATTAGTGAATTTTTATTAATTTAGATTGTACTTCAACATGGGATAGATATAAATGTATTTATCAATATTTTAAAAAACTTTTTTTTAACCCTTAATGCACCACAAGAATACGATTCTTTTCCCCCAAAAGTTTCAAAACCTTGTTACCAATGGTAGACATTACACGTGTTCAAACATATTTCACATTGAAGCTTTTATCCTCACAACTACAAGTAAGTCTTTGCCACCAATTGGGGATATCTTCTTCTGCACTGTCATTTTAGGATTAGTTAGGTTTCAAGGTGTTATTTTATCTTTCTGTAATGTTTTGTTCTGAATAGTGGATGCATTCCGATACCTATTTAAAAAGCCATTCAGCGTCGACAAGGTGATAACGATGTTGGTGATATTGATCTAGGAGCAGATAGTGAATAAATTGAACCATCTTCTTTTACTTCTGATGTAGTTTTTTGATTAGACACATTGTGGTGGAGATTGGTGTGCCGATTATATTGATTTCAGATTCTAGCTACTTTGAGCTGCTTACGTTGGCTGGTATTTTTAGGGTTTTCTTTCATATTTTACAGCTTAAAACTCTCATGAAGGGCCGCCTCTTGACTGGTTTATTTTGATGAAGAGTTAGCAAACGTTCTCTATAGGCTCGTATAATTCACGAGTGTTTGTTTGAATTGAAGTTGGGATTTAGGGTATGGAGCAAACTGATTTGATTTGTTAAAATTTCTGGAAAGAAGTTTGTCTATGAGCGTTAGGGTTGATAATTAGATTTTGGATTGGATCCTTGATTTGGTCATGGAAAGCGAACAGAAGCCTCTTCAAACAGGTGGAACAGAAGCCTGAGGTGCAACATGTTCGTCATTGTATCTTTTTGGTCAGAGGTTCTTATATTTGCTTTCCTGTTAAGATTAACGGAGAGAAAAGTGAAATATTATATTGTCTCCTGTAACAAACAAGCAAATTATCAAGTGATGGATTTGTAAATTTTCCAACATTTCTGGAATATGTGAAATCAATTTAGATTACGTACCTGACTAACTCGGCATCAAATATGTCCAAAAAAAAAAAGGCCAAAAAGTAATAAAACAGAGATAAAAATAACACAGAAAACTTCATGGGAAAATCATTTCACATCTCTTTGCAACCTCTAAAACACTGAGGTTCCGAATGTTATCATCATATTTTTCCCCTTTGGAAACAACTTCCAATACATCCAATATACTAATATTTTCCTTCTTCATTTCCTCGGCCTCCACTCCTCCTCTCTCACAAATTGAGGATGGCAGCACCCGCTTTGCCCAATCTTTTATTCTTTCCTTGGTTCCCGTCGTCGACCCCGCCTCACCTCTCTTCCTGCACTGCTCATCTTCTGAACATATTTCGAACCTTTGGCTATACGGATAATATCCACTCTCGTACGGTATATCCGTGTCCCTTCCCAAATCGACGCCCTCATCGAAGGAGGGAAGACGGCTCTCCTTGCTCTCAATTTTTCTATCGATTTCTTCTGAGGCAACTGAGATTCCGGCTGTCGATTGCGTCTCGGAAGTTCCCGCGTAATGGCAGTGACGGAGGACGGCTTCCTGAGAAGGAGATCTGTTGCAAAAACCGAGGAGTGGACGGAAAGGATCTTCAGGGGAAGACGGAGTCTGTCGATCGGTGGAGGACAGACGTGGCTCTTTGCTGGGAGTTTTTTGATTCATTTCTTCGTCGTCATGCTCCTTTCTCGCGAGGGACACGGGAGTCTGGTGTTCGGCGGAAGACAGACGGATCTCCTTGTCGTCCGAGCTTTCATGGGAAATCATGATGATACCGGTAGAGGCCACCGGGATTCCATCACAGACCGGAGATTGGGTGTGGGAACCGCTGCATTCGACATTCTCCGATATTAGGGCGAAACGGCGGTGAGCTAAAAGGTTCTCCTGGGAGTATGACATGCGGCAGACTTGTAAGATCGAAGCGGAAGGATCAAGAGAGTCCATTGTCAGGAGGGAAGGGTAGGACGGAGCACACACCGCCAACTTTACTCTTTGATGAGGTTTGCCGAACCCTAAAAGATAAACGACCCGAGGTCTGTCTGGCAGTAAAATTTAAAAGGGCAAATTCGGGAATTTGATAAGAAACTGTGATGAGAAATTTCGAGTGGTTGCTGGAATCATAATATTTCTTTTAACAAATTTTTATGACCATCATGCTGTTATAAACCATCTTTGTTGAAATTTAATATAATATAATATTATTTCAATATATTGTATAAATCTCGAAAAATAATATTAATTTTTTTTAAAAAAAAATTACTCCAAATGAATGCTCAAATTCCAAGTGATATAAATTATATTATTTCAAACTTGTTTTATGGTAAGCTGTAGTCCATTCTCGTACATTGATTTAAAATTCTTGAATTCCATTGGTTGATTGTTTTAGTATGATATTTCAAAAAACTAACCCACAAAAATTATGCAAAAACAAAAACTACGACCTCTCAAATTCATGTTTAATTGCTTTAATTTAATTTAATTTAAATCTAATCTAGAATAAGCATTTGAACGTAAACTTATAATTGAGTGTTTATCATCTGCCACTAAAATTAGATAATCATATTATAATTAAAAAAAATATATATATATAAATAAACAAACATATAAAAGCGGGAAGTAATAATTAAGAGGCAAATAGGAGTGTCCCCCATGGAAGAGTGTGCAGTTTGTCTCTTGCTTATACAATGGAAAGTAGAGAAGAGAGGCAGGTTTTTTCAGCTTCACATGTTCTTCATTTATTTATATAAAGATCATCAAACATTCCACTTCCACCCAAATCAATAAAAAAAAATTTAAACGACATGAAAAAACATATTTGGTGCAGAAACCTTGATACTCTGAAACTCTCAACTTGAAATTTGAAAAACTTAACAAAAATGCTTCTTTTAAACCCGAAAAAGAAAAGAAGAAAGGTGGGGGTTGAGGAATGAGAGTTCTTTCTTCTTTTTTTTTTTTTTTCTTCTTTTCTTTCTTGGAACCCACTGAGAAAAGAACAAAAAAAGAAGCACAAATGGGATGATAACAATACTTTTTAAGCTTCAGATCGGATCCTGCGGCTAAGTAACTTCTTTGTAGATTTTGCTCCTTGTTTTCATTCCTTTGTAAGTCAGAAGTGTGAGATTTTTATTTTCTGTTGATTTCTCTTTTTTGTCATTTTGTTTCCTGGGTTCTCTTTCTTCTCCATCCTCAGTATCTTTTCTCTTCCTTCTAATTGCTTTTTGTCCTTAATGAGAGGAGATTGTAGGCCCATCGAATATATTATTATATGGATTTTCTCGTAGATTAAAACTCTGTTTTTGCAGCATGCTACTGGACTTTCTGTTCTTCTGGAGAAAAATTGTGTTATCCGGTTCATGCAATATAGTTTTTCAAAGTTTTTCTTCCTCCTGATTTCTTCTTTTGTTGGTGATTTCTGCAACTCTCTGTTTCTTTTCTCATCTGGGTATGATTCTTCCCAACTCCTTGCATTGGTTTGCTGCTGCATTTCTCCGTCTCTCTCGCAAAATCTCATCTTTTTCCATGCTGCTTTTTCTTCTTTGATGCCTTTGGTTTAAATCTCTTGTTTTTTTTTTTCTTTTTTTTTTTTCAAAGTTATGTTTTTCCTTTTTTGGGTCGAGAGATTTTTACCTTTCAAACTTAATTGTCTGGATATGATATGAACCAACTTCTCCGAATACCTTTTGTTGGGTTCAGAACTAGACTTACGAGGTTTGCATTTCTGGGAAAATGATTGTGAGCTGTTGCGATTGATTTCTGGCGCCACATCATATAGAGAGAGATATATATATACATATAGAGAGAGAGCTATTAATGCATACACAGGCTATGGGATCTGAAGGCGGGGAACCAAATCTACAAAACTTAGCTACTCAAACTTCACTCTATAACCTCACTCTGGATGAGGTTCAAAATCAGTTGGGGAATCTGGGGAAACCATTAGGAAGCATGAATCTTGATGAGCTACTCAAGAGTGTATGCTCTGCAGAAGTTAATCAGTCTACACCATTGGCTGATGACAATGTAGGCATAACCTACACAGCTTCAGGCTCGGCACTGAGTAGGCAGGGGAGCTTGGCTCTTTCCAGGGATCTTAGCAGAAAGACTGTGGATGAGGTCTGGAGGGATATCCAAAAGAGTAAGAATAAAAATGATCAAGAGAGGAGGTGCCAGGAGAGACAGCTTACTTTTGGTGGGATGACTCTGGAGGACTTCTTGCTCAAGGCAGGGGTAGTTTCCGAGCCTACTCATGTTCATGTTTTAGGGGTTGAATCCGTTATATTCTCTCAGCCGAATATCCCTCATCACCCCCATTGGAATCAGTACCAGCTCCCTTCACTGCAGCAGCAACAACAGCAACAACATCAGCAGGATGTGATGGCACTTGTGCCTGGCCAGCCAACTCAACATCCTCTTCCTGTTGGAGTTAATCCAGATGCAGCATACCCTGAAACCCAAGTCACGATATCACCCTCCTCTTTGATGGGCACCTTATCAGATACACAGGCTCAAGCTCCAGGGCGTAAAAGGGTTGCCTCGGAAGATGTTGCTGAGAAGAATGTAGAAAGGAAGCAGAAGAGAATGATTAAGAACCGGGAGTCTGCTGCCAGGTCACGGGCTAGGAAGCAGGTTAGATTTCAAATGTGATGTTGGTTTATGAGGTCCGTTTAGTTTGTCTTATTCATGTTTGCAGCACTATTGAGAGAGACCATGCTGATGGACAGGCTTATACACACGAGCTAGAGAACAAAGTCTCACGTCTGGAAGAGGAGAATGAGAGACTCAGAAGACAAAAGGTATTCTTTTTTTTGTATTCTCCCTGTCTATCTTATTGCCACGTGATCATTTTCAGTCTAACTCGGTTGAAACATTGAAATGTATCAAGTATCACACATGGAATTAACTAGCCAATGCAACCTTATGAATTCATCTCCAATGTGTTGTGAAACTTGTTATTTATCATTAGGTCCATATTTTTGTTACAATTGTCAAGTTGTTATGTGATATGTTTAGTTAATCATCTCTCGATTCCATTATGCAAATAACTTGATAGCTCTTGGCACAATCTACATTATTGGTTGAAATTCAAAACTTCATTTTTCCAGTAGCGAATGTGCTCTAAAATTTGTAAGATTGTTAAATCGGAGCTGTTTTACAACCTATGAATTGTCTAATGTTAAGTAGACTCCTAGTGCTTTGAGGATCATCTAAGGGGTAGATGTTGATTAATTACTTGCTCTTTTTTGAATGATTATGGCACTAGACATTTCAGATTAGTAATGACTTGGAGTTTGTTGGGCTCTCAGGCTTGAGATTGCTCTGATTAAAGGGTAGAGCTGGGTTTGGCATATTAAAAATATGTTTTTATTTTTAGCTTCCCGTCCACATAGATGTACATGTATTTTTATAGATGTATATATATTTGTTTACATGTAGTACTTATATATATGTATTACATATCTATGTATGTACTAATATGTATTCGTCAGTTATAAACTTGTCCTCTAACAATTTCGTAATAGATTCTTCACAGCTTTGGTTGTTGAGAGCGTGATATACCATCTCTGATTCAAAAGTTAAACATTGCTAACAAGTTAAAATTTTAGCAAACTGAGTAGTTTAGTTCTTGTTTTATCATACCAAATGTGCATTTGCACGCATATTTTATTTTTCTCTTCCAACACTCTGCAGGAATATGATATTTTTAATTCACATAAGTCATTAAAGGGATGATTAAATTTAATTTAATGCACTTTTGAAGGTGAACATATGAAGGACGCAGTGTAATAAGATATTTCTATATGCACTCAAATTGCTACCTGATTTCAAGAGTGAGTACATTGAAACAAGAACTGGCTTGTCAAGCAATATGTGGATGTCGTTACATATGCGTTTATTTATCTCCTCAGTCAAATAGTGTTATTTATCTTTGCTACATGTTCATTCTTGTGATCAAAATGGTGATATTCCTCTAAGTCTTTGTTCTCTGTGCTGAAATTAATACACATGGTTATTGCAATATTGTCTGGGGAAAGCATTGGACTCCTTGATGTTTGTCCTAGGTTCTACTCTAATTCAAGCATGCTAGAGGATTTAATTTGTTGTTGTATGTGATGAATATAATAGCTTTAACACTTCAAATTTTGAGGGGATAAGTGCTAGGCCAACGTTTATGAAACTTTGAATGTTGTCTATTATTGGAAAATCCATTGTTACCTTGTGAATAAAAGTTTTCTTCTGTCTATCAGACTACCAAGTACATAGTTTTGGAGCATGTATAGGCAATAATCATGTCAGATGGCATAACTTTGTAGATAGAAACTTAATTGGAAACTAACCATATGGGAAAAGACTACATCAGAAATGCCCTATTATTATTCTCTAACAGGATACATGAGAATACATTCTCATTCTCTAACAATATCACACTGCATCTGTTTTCTTTTCCTTTTATTTGTTTTTTTTTCTATTATTATTTTCTTGTCTTTTCAATGAAGTTCAACACTTTTGGCCGTAATGAAGTTGATCACACAAGTTTAGTCATGAAAGTTGACTACAATTCCAACTTTTTCAAGAGGGGTGAAATGGATTAGCGGTACATGTAGTAGGGTGGTGATAATTGGTTACAGTGAATCTTAAAAAATAATCTCAGTAAATATCTCCTAGATAACAATATGTGTAGCCAAAAGAGAGAGCAAGATTTGAAAAGAGTCTCCTCATGTCAAAAGATTGCATCATGTATACTTTCCTAGAAAAGATGAAGAGTCATTAAAAGGATAAGGAACCGCTAAAGAACTAACATGAAGTAATACATATTTATGTGGAAAAGTACCTCCATTGTACTTTGTTGACCCACTAGTTCTTCCCATCATCTGCTCTTTGGTGTTCTATGTTTCTGTCACCACAAACAAGCAAAGGGAATGATTCACATGCATGAAAAAATGCTGCCATATAGGTTATCAGTTAGAAGCTTAAATTTCTGGTTTGGTCCGCAAAATTTCTTATGATGGTGCTTACAGTTAGGCTCTTAATGAACTTGTGTGCAAAGGGTTTCAACAGGAATGGATATTTCCTTTCCTTTTTCCTTTCTTTTCCCATGTGTTTTTCAGTTGCAGGTAGTAGATAAACAAGGCTGAAAGAAAGGCTTATATCTATGGTTTGGAGATCATGCTGAGTGAAGTTTTGATTTTTCGTTCAGTAATTGATTTTTTCAGAACATCCAAAGATCATTGACTCTGTATGCAATAGTGCCTTCTTTAAACTCCTTGGTTGCAGACATGAGTACATCCTAGCCGTGTCAGTAGTTGCCGTGGTGTTTAGTTCAGGAATTAATAATCATTCTCTGGCAAAGTTGTTTTGAGTCTCAAGTTCTTGTATCTGAAGTGCTCTGAACAGAAAATATATATATATTCCTGAAAAATAAAGGTTATTGAAGTCAGTGAACTTGTAGTTGGAAGATGACAAAGTACATAGTGACTATTTAGTAATTTGGAAGTTTTTGGGATCGATGGTTGTTTGAATTATCATTTCAGGTTTCTTGTGTTGTCTGGATATATCATCCAGAGATAATAATATTGTCTGCATATACGAGATGTCCGTCATCTTCTTCTAAGACAGCATCCTTATTGCTTACTAAAAACAGAATGTATCATGGTTGCAGTCTCCCAGCAGCCTATAGGCTTACAGGATAGTACCTAAATTTATCATGATTTGTCAAAATTTAAAATAAAATCAAAATATAATGGAAAAAAAGAAGCAAAATGATGATTTGTCAGCAAATCATCTCATCATTTGGCTTCTTTATTTTCCCCTTATATTTTTGATTCATTTTAAATTTTGCTTTGTTTATCCTCTTAGCTTTTTTCATTCATTGCATAGGTCATATCTGAGTCCAATAATTTGATAATGACAACATACCTTGATAATGGAAATAAAACTTGGGACTAAGTGTGCTTTCTTTTCAGATCAGGATGTTGGTTGAATACTGTTTGATACAGATGATTATTAGGGTTACACATGAAACAACATTTTACCTTTTTTTCTCCCATGTTTCCCGTTACAGGAGCTGGAGAATGCGCTGCCATGTGCACCGCCTCCTGAGCCCAAGTATCAGCTGCGAAGAACAAGTTCAGCCCCATTTTGATGTCTGTATTCTCATATCTTGGTAGTTTGAATCACCTTGACAAGGAATTGCATTTCTGAATGGTGACTGAATTAGAAACTTGAAGTCAAAACTTTGGAGTAGTTGCAAGCTAAATGGCCTTTTGATTTACTCAATTAGTACTGGCTCTAGGAGGTCCTTTTTTTCTTTTTTTAGTTTGCCTTTAACATTTCTTGTCAGGCATCTGATTGTTTGCTGCATTATGAAACCATCATTCTTGTACATGTGATCTTAACTAGGCTGTTTGAAAGGGGCTTTAATCCAGTAATTGGTTAAGTAATGTCTAATTGGCCTGAATTTTCTGAAAAAAAAGTGACAGGAATACGCCTATGTTTTTGTTGACATGAAAAGATCACCACATATCTCCTTGACTTGCTGGAACAGGAAAAGCCAAAAACTCAAATAGGCACAAGAAACATCCTTTTAACTACTCTGCGAAGAAGAAGAAGAATGCAGAAAAATAGGTGCTTCAGATATAAGATTTAGTGTTTATTGCTACACAATAGTGATGACATACAGTAAGGTCCCATAACGAGCAGATGGCAGCAGGAACCTACAGCAAAAATAGAAACGCCAGCCAGCCAGATGTATTGAATTATGATTACAATAAATATACTCTACAAAGTGTATATTCTGTACAGAGCAATGCATACGAAATATAGAAAAATATTCGGTTGCTAAAAATCCACATCCTATTTTGGATCCCCAAGATGCTGCTTCTTGCCCTGAGGTAGTTTCCCGTTAGACATGGTGTCAACAGTCTTCGACAAATCCAAGCAAATGTAGCATTGCTGAAAGTACCTCTTCTGGTTAGCTTTTGGAGGCAGCTTGGTCATCATTTCTCTTCTGTTTCTTTCGGGGAGACAACAATCCTTCACTGGCATCAGCAGATGCTTCTGACTCTGATGCTTTTTCCTTGTCCACAGCCTCTGTTGCTTTTAGTTTACTGCCTATTCTCTGCTGCTCCTCGATAATCTTTTGCAAATATTTCCCCTGAGCTTCTATTCGCATTTGCAACTGTCTTTGCACCTGCAAGATTCCACTAAAGCCACTCCTTATCTTGTTACAAGGATGAAGTTGGTAATGCTGGAGAGGATGTATCAATCATGTGTAACCATAACAGCATACAACTCTTGGAAATACTTCGATGTTATGCTAATACACTCTTGGAAATATTTCAATATTATGCTAATACAGCGAACAAAAAAATCTGACAGATGATGAGAAGCACTGTCCATTATCATCGGGAGTTGACAAATTTTGCTCCAAAGAAGCATGTATTGAACATATGTTCGTGCTTCCAGAATCTACAAGCTACGTAATCATCTAGGCTAAGGTTAACACATGAGAATCTATTGACTAAAAACAAATCATCTAGGGTATAAGTTATTTTTAGTCAATATATTCTCATGTGTTTAACTCCTTGGCTCAGTTACCAACTTCAACGCTACCCGACAAAAAGGAAAGGAAAAAAAAAGTTTGAATAATGGGCAGTCCGTTCCATTTGAAATGAGAGGAAGAACATACCTCAAGCTGTTCATGTAGACGCTTTTGAACCTCCATCTGCATCCGCAATGTGTCATTAATTTGAACTCCCCTGGAGAGTGTAACGAATTTTAAGAAAAAATTAACATAGAAGGCCTTAAAACTTTATAATTCTTTAGTACATCTCTAAAGGAACAAAAGAATTATGAAATAAAGAGGTATAGTGTTTCCAAAGCAGGGCAAAGGGACCTACGGGGAGGAATCCGGAGTAGTTATGCTGTCTCCTGCATCTTTCTTCTCATCTTTAAGACCTAAATGTCGACACAGGCTTTCTCAAACTTCAAATTTACATGCTGGCTAAAACAACAGAAATAAAAAAACCCCAGGGATGACATGTTCAATTAGTTGGACACTTACCATCAGCTGGAGATTCTGGAAGGTACTTTGCAAGTCGATATTTCTATCAAAAGAATTTTGCATACATTTAGAATTCCAGGTATATCAACATTAGCATCTAAACTGCTTCTATGTCATTAAAAATTATAAACATGACATCACCTGTAAATGGCTCTTCACATGATAAATTGTGAGCCCAGGTACTCCCATAACTCTTAAAACACCTTTTGGTGTTGCCCCTGAAACCAAGTGGTGATGAAAGTAGCTAAGAAAGAAATCATAATCCACAAGTTCCAGAAGTCAAGAGAGCATATGCACTCAATCATTGAGGATATGAGCAGCAAAATCCTTGTGGAGACAAAACAACACCCACCATAAAAGAAAATGTCATCCTACCTTTGTTTTTTCATACAAGTATATATTTTTCTGCAGAGAAGAGTGCAAAGAATTTGCATCAATGTTTCAAATTGGATATCTTTTGCCATAAGTTACTCCTTAAACTTCCTTGAACTTGCTTTTCATTACAGTTGAAGTTGAGAACATAATAAAACCTTGATATAATCAGCTTCTTCGAAGAAGAACCACATACAATAATAATATTTCCTTTTTATCCAAAAAACATGAACTAGATATAATCATCTTCTTCTGCACCTCTTCGAGGATATAACAAACTTTGAGAAAAGAATTTCATCAGCAGAGAACACCCAATGCATACATTTGAAAACGTGGCAGTGCAGGAGTTTCCAACCAATTTGAGATAAATCGAACAGTAAGACCACATTCAAAAGCAAGAAAAAAGAAACCCGAAGAAGAAAGAATAAGATAACATTAGAAAAATTGAAAGTATCAATTTATTTTTTTCAAAAAAAAAAAAATTGAAGAATCAACTTATTATTTATGCCTGAATCATTCGCACATATAATCACATAACTGGAAAAAAAAAAAAAAATACCCACTATCTGGTCCACCAAGCTGAGTGATGGCATCTACAAAACGGTCATGAAGATCTGAGGTCCACCTCAACCTTTGCTTTCCACCACCCCCAGCTGAAGTTGAATTATTCACCACATTTCCACCCAGTGTACCGGTACTTGGAAACTGTTCAGCCCCTTGAGGTTTATGGGGCACCAAGTTTGCAGTTGAAATTTTCTTGGCATGATACATGTTGCAGAGACTAGGTTTGATGATGCACGTACATCTACATACAAAGCCATAAGATTATTTTCTGAATTCATACAAAACATGTATCAATAAAAATACTTCAATTGATCAAACTAGCAGTAACTGTCGCATCTTAACACACTTGATCCTTCATCAAAACCAATATTCTGATTCTTGAAATCAAAGAATTTCATAACAACCAAATAAGTAATTCTTCCAAAAGAAAACACTGCAGGGCATTCGAAAAAAAGCTTTTCCAAGTTAAATTAACAGAAACTAAGCACAGCATAATCAAGAAACTAGAAAGCAAGGAAACGACTGGAAAGTCATGTAAAATGCTCTCAGCTTGATAGTTACGCATCGGTCATCATAAAGAAACTTAAAAACTCATTCACACCCCACGAACAGAAACTTTGAAAAATATGGAACATGAGAAGATTGAAAGGCAGATAAGTAACTACATGAGAGGAAAGTTAAGAAACTCACAGGTAATAGCAGGCAGATTTTCCGCATCAAGGAAATGGAGGTATCATCGTGAAGAAGCATAAAATTGAAAAATGGTGGAGAGAGATGTGTGTAAAGAAGGGGTTTGACGTAGAGAAACGAGCAGAAAAAGGAAGGTGGAACCTTTATGATGGCATATGGAAATGCAAGAGAAGTTTAGGTCAAGCCATTGGTTGGGTCTGATTGTGATTTCAGGAAGACTGTTTTTTTTTGTTTTGTTTTGTTTTGTTAAAAAATAAATAAAATAATTTTATGGAGAGAGACGTGGTAGATTGGAAGCGAAAGAGATAACGTGCAAGGGACGGTGATTCTTACGGTTCAATTTTATTTTTTAAATATTATTTTAACATTCATAATAAGCAGGATAAATTCTTTTTTGAGTAAATTACTGAAAAATCATCAAGAATAAATGGACTGTAAAATATGAAAAAATATATTTTTCTTTTAATTCTCTAATTATATTATTATGAATACATTTAGAAAGTGTACATATACATCCATAAGAAATTAATAATTCCTGAGTAGGTGTAAAACTCTTGTCTTAATCCAGCTTCTAAATGGTGTGAGAAACTCTTGTCTTGGCATTGGTTGTTCCACCAATGAATCAAACACCCACTACTCTTCTTCAATGCACCAAAAATTAAATCACTGGGTTCTTTTCTTTTCTCTTTCTACGTACACTCTGTGTCGATACCTTTTTAGCAAAAAAAAAAAAAAAAAAAAAACCCCATGCTTCTTTTATAGTCTCGAGTATCGATCGGCTACGTATTCTGCAATTGCCAGACTTGATGTCAGCCCTGGTGACTCGATTCCGAAAAGATTCACGAGTCCGTGGATCCCATGAGCTTCCTCACCCTACATATAAGTTCAGAGGTTTACAAAACAGTGTACCCGCATGTCAATGCCTGAGCAACAACCATGACATTGCCTCACAAACCATATCTTTTAGCAGAAGACAAATGTTCAACCAAAAAGAAACAACATTGCAGATGGAAACCTGTATGATAAAATCACCAGGAGGCTGTTTAGGTCCAGAAATTTTTGGCCGAATCCCTGCGTAGCCTGGCTCTAGTGATCCCTCCCTCAGACTCGGGTAGTACTTTCTAATCTCTGGGTAGAATCTCTCTACACGTTCCCCGCTCACAGCATAGTCAAACCTGTAGTTAACATCTCACAAAAAACCTGATAATCAATCATTTGCTAAAAAGAAAAGAACATTATAAAGAGCAAAAAAGTTCATCGTTGATCAATTTCATTATACACTAACAGATACATTGACATCTTTTGCCAGATCCTACTCAAAGCAACTTGCACAGAGCAAATTTTATTGTTCAATAAAATCCAAAAGCATTTTCAAACATGCTAATTCAAGAACACACTTTTACCAACATGTATTATGAAATATAGAATCAAAATCTCCAGACTGGTGCTATTTTGTGCGTGTTTCCTCGAAACTCCTCTTCGTATCTTATTTCAAAATAAGCTAAGCTGTCATCAAAGAACTCAACCACTAGTGCTCTTGTTGTCTTGTAAATAAATTACAAGTTTTTGGTCCCTTCCTGTCAACTCCCAGCCTTATTTTGAAAGCTTCCAAATGTAGGACCCCTTAAAATCTCCTCTCAATATTTGTCACCAGCTAATACTTCTACCAACTTAAAACACTCTGAATAGACACATTAATAATAATCAGATTCAAAATTAAAATTAACATCCAGTAAATTTTTTAGAAACCAAAAAAAAAGAGACAAAAGAAAAGAACTCACGTTCATTTCCTTAAGATTTTAGCACTTTATGCTGTAGTACTAAGTCCTTTTTCAACAGATAATAAAAGGCTGGAAACTGGTGCTTCCAATTAATGAACTAGAAACTGAACTACTCAAATTTGGGACAGGAAGCTGTTATCTATAGCAGTGAAGTTCAAATGATAAACTGGAGAGGAAGAGAGTAAAATTTGGTAATGCCTATAACTAGTTTGTTGCAGAGACATAAATGATGAGAACATGAAGCCTAAGAAAATAAGAGGCAAAGACCAAGAAAAGAAGCAAACAAAAGGACCATCCAGAAAAAGGAAAAATTAAGATATAAAACCTATTCCATAATGAGATACATCTCCCCTACAAGGTGTACATTGTCAATTAGTCAGATGGACTACAGAAGCACAGTACACCCGGACCAAATATAAATTTCAGTTGTAGACATGCATAATCAGAGTGAAAAACTACATGACCAAATGAAATGCCCCTTATCATGTCGAATGCATTTCATCTCGACATAAAAGCAATCACATCCACCTTCCATAATGGGAACATTTACAAATTTCGGCACGTCAGGGCAAACACACATGACTACCCACAAATTCATTTTCATCCTAGCAATCTGGATCATGACTCAGAAATTCCATTGTGATGATGGTACCACACTCCAGGACGAGACAAACAATTTCTTTAACAAATTATTCAATCTAACAAAAAAAGTCACTAAGGAGGTCATAATTAGGTGGAATTGCGCTATGTATCCTGCAAAACAAATAACGAGCTACTTATCTCCACAAAAATATTACTCAGTAATTCAAACATGGAAAGAGAAAATAAAGGGATAAACCAGGAGTACTTGTTCAGGAAGCCTGTAATATCATCTCTACCATTAATCCATTCAACATCTGGACCAAACTTGACCTGTCCATCCAAATCTAAAGTAACATGAACTCCAAGGCCACCTTCCTCTGGTATAGGATATATCAAATGGGAGAAAGGAGCAACTCTAGTATTAGATAGTGTGAAGTAGCATCCTCGGGCATAATATGCCGGAGGAATAATGCTGTGATTTATACCATGAAATCTCTTTGCAAGGGCCGGAGCACTCAACCCAGCAGCATTCACCACAAGCTTTGGGATGAGAACAAGCTGGGGATGCAGGGGAGTTTCCCCATTCGAGTTTTCAAGATTTGTCCTTTCAGTTACATAAAGTTGCATCTGATTTCCTTCTATGTGGCCACTGATAGCTGTAGTATTGTATGAGAAGGTTGTTCCACTACTTTCAGCTTCCCCCTGTATGCACAACAGATTTGAACTTTTTAAGTTTGAGTTCGATTCAAATTTCAATTATGTAAAATAAGAATCAAATATATTATAAATATGATAAAAATTTAAATGGAAATAGCATTCTAACCTAAATCAAATTACAAATTTAGTTCTGGGTAGGTGTTTTTGTCATTGCCACTTGAAAAGTGACAATAAAAATCTCTATTATTATAGAATTAAAGATTTTCAGGTCTAAATTAGGACCAAGCTCTACTCCCCAAACTTGAACCAGATGCAAAGTCAAGAGAAAAAAAATGGTAGAAGGAAGTGAAACAAGCAAAGATGAGAAAGCAAGGCATACCACTAAAGATAGCATTAGCGAATGAGTGTCAACAATCCCAGAAAGGGGTGATAGTAAAGCCTTGACACATTGCAATTCAGGTTCCATTCTCATGGCTTCAAAACCCTCCAACATTCTAAGCCCCACAACCCCATTTTTGGTTCCAAGATCCTTTAGATGACTCAACTTGGGAATCTCGGAAGACCCAGTAGCAACTATAAGCTTACCAATCTGGCTATGGGGAATGTCATGTTCACAGCAATAGTTGTAGAGCAATTCTCTTCCTCTTACACAAAGAAGTGCCTGAAAATCAATCTAACGCAGATTAGCATGACACTAGAATCGTTTGCGTTGCAAGCAATTATCCAACGGAACTTAAGTAAGAAATCCATCAGACCAGTATAGAAGTGGAGAGTTACTCATAGGAGATAAGACCTTGAGAGAATTGGGAGGGTAATAGATGCCTGCATGGATGACCTCGCTGTTGCGAGAGCTGGTGGCGGTGCCGAAAGTGGAGGCAGATTCAAGAACCAACACATATCTCCCCCTCAAACTCAACTCTCTGGCTGCCGCAATCCCCACAATGCCTGCGCCAATTACCACGCAGTCTACCTTCTCCTGAGCAACCTGATCCCCACCTGTGATTCCGCCACGGATGTTGGTGCTAAAGCTCTGGCATGACAATTTATTAATACTTGGTATTAATCCGGTTCTATTCTTTAAGAATCGAAGCGTGCGCTCCAGCATCTTGTCGACGCCCTCGTCAAGATGGAGTGATATTTACTCCCTCTGTTAAAAAAGGCGGTTACCAGTCCTTCTATCCATGGAGGTTTCTCTGCACCTATAACGTATTGCAGGGAGAGATGATGGACTATTGAATTGGAAGATAGAAGTGCAGGGTCATCATCCCAAGTCAGGGGGGAGGACACGGGAGTGGGCCGGAAACAGAGGAACCAGAGGCCAGTATTTCGGCTCTTCTGAATCAGGGTTCGTGGTTTTTGTCTCATAATACATGATTAACATTTTCCACGTCTACTTTCCATCTTCCTCTTAATTTACCACTGTAGAATGTTGACGCAAGCTGGATTGATTGTGAACACTACATGTTTCATAATATATGATATAAATGTTAAACGATATTAATACATAAAAAGCTGGACTTTTTTTAGGCTGCTTGAAATTGTTTTTGGGTAGGAAATAAATATATTTATTAAATATTTGTATTTAAAGTAAATAAATATTAAGATCAACAATAATACTAGATAAATATTTTATTACAAATTTGGGCGAACATTAAAAAATTTATAAAACAAATTACTATAGGATAAACAATCCTTATTCAAGTTAATTAGAAAGCTTAATAAGTAGTAACTACTATCTTTACCAATTACAAAATTAAATGATTACTTAAAAAAGAAAGAAAATAATCATTAATTGCAACGTTAAAGAACCTCTTGGCCAAATGGTAAAACTCCAATTGAGATTCGAATCATGGCGGCAACCCAAAAATAGAAATATGAAAAATTGTTTTGCGCGTGTCCAGACCAAATTCAAAGAAAAACAAATCATCATCATCAAACATCAAAGATTTAATCCCACAAGACAAGACTCAAAAATATATATATATATATATATATATATATAGAACAACACAGTAAAAGCACCAGACCAGAAGATTTCACCACCAAAGCAGCCGCCACCATCGCCATGAGAGAAAACAACTCAAGTCCCCATACCATCAAAATAGATAAACGGAAAAACTACGACTTGCATAATATCAATCAACCCTTTCTTCTTTCCTCCCATTCTAGTTTCTAGTTTTAGGTTTTATTGGAGAGATGGGTATGTTATTTAGCCATCATAACCTTGACGAATTCCTCATAATTAATCTGACCATCACCATCAACATCAGCCTCCCTGATCATCTCATCAACTTCTTCATCAGTCAGCTTCTCCCCAAGGTTTGTCATCACATGGCGCAGCTCTGCAGCAGAGATGAAACCATTCTGATCCTTGTCGAAAACTCTGAATGCCTCCTTCAACTCCTCCTCAGAGTCAGTATCTTTCATCTTCCTAGCCATCAGGTTTAGGAACTCCGGAAAGTCAATGGTCCCATTACCATCAGCATCCACTTCATTGATCATGTCTTGGAGCTCTGCTTCAGTGGGATTCTGTCCCAGTGACCGCATCACTGTCCCAAGCTCCTTGGTGGTGATGCAACCTGCAAATTATTACAAGATTACTGTTCAACCTCCATATCAACAACATGCTGTAAAATCATCGCAATTAACTAGCCTAATCCTGTAGCTTTAAGAAACCCTGCCCCCACCCTTCAACATTGAAGATGGAAGCTTCTATTGCTATAAAACAGCAAGAAGTGCTGTTTCAAGAACAGTAGGGCAAATAGATAGTGGGTATCAACAAGAGACATTGGTAAATACTAGTTAACATAGTAATATAGCAAATGTAAGATTAAAGAACTGGCAAAACATTTATGTTATTGTTATCCCAAACAAATCAATACAGAAGCAAAAAAATGGGTCAGACTGAAAAAGAAAAACCTAAGATTAATCAAATCTACAAGGATTTCCTTCAATGAGCAAAGGATCGACAATGAACACAATCCTCCGGGGGGAAAAAAGGAGAAAAAAAAAGCATCGGCTGAAGAAGACGATAACTGCGCATAAATAGATAGGACCAAGACAGGTCCTGCAGAGCAGAAGGCCAAGGTGAGTTTAGTGGCGCAAAAAGGGTAAGCATGAGTAGATCTTAAACCCAATAACACGAGTATGACTTAAATTTAATTTGATATTCTTAATTCCAGAAGAACATCAACTAAAAAACCTAGTAAATAACATCGGCCATTAATCAACATTCTCAGAGCAAAAAATAATCAGAAACAATTGCCTCAATAAACGTTTACATAAAAGTTTTACAACTATCACAAAATATAATCCGAATGATTGAAAATAACAAAAAGCTGAAGACAAAATCCAATTCGTTCATAATTCGTTACTAGATAAGAAGATCAAACAGCTGTACAAATCAGAAACCTAAAAGCAAGATCAAGTAATGGAGTACGGCTTTAAATAGATTTATGAAGAGAAACGAACCATCGCCATCCTTGTCAAACAAGCTGAAGGCTTCTTTGAACTCGGAGATCTGGTCGTCGGTGAGCTGATCCGCCATTCCTGTTTGTTCCGATAAAAAATAACACACACAAAAAGAAAAAACGAAAGCGGATACACGATCTCAAAGTTTAAAACGCAGAGAGAGAGAGAGAGAGAGAGGAAGAAAAGTAAAAGAAGTGGAGTAGTGCGGCCAGAAGAAAGTCGTTTTCTCTGGTTCAGACAAAAATGGAGGCTCTATACGTATTCTGTGCATCCGGACGCAAGTTTCTTATTAAATCCACCTCACGCCGTATTCTCCATTTTACCCCTTCCTCATCCGCTTTTTTACTTTTTCACTCTT